CCTCCTCCGCCTCCACCTCCTCGTGCTCCTCCTCCTCATCCTTCCCCTCCTCCTCCTCCGCCTCCTCCTCCGCCTCCTCCTCCTCCTTCGCCTGGAGACTAAGACATGACGAGGATCACCATTAGGGTCACCCTTAAGCTTGCAGCCGACGTACTCTCGCCAGACGGCCTCGGCTGCCCGCGCGAGGCCCGGCGCCTATAGATGAGGGCACCGAGGTCAGCCCCTGTGCTTGCTCGTGCGCCTTCCGCTCCCTGGAGGAGACCACCGAGGAGGAGGAGGAGGAAGAGGAGGAGGTGGAGGCGGAGAGAAAGAGGAGGAGGAGGAGGAGGAGGAGGAGGAGGAGGAGGAGGAGGAGGAGGAGGAGGAGGAGGAGGAGGAGGAGAGGAGCGCCGCCTTTAGATGAGGGCACCGAGGTCAGCCCCTGTGCTTGCTCGTGCGCCTTCCGCTCTCTGGAGGAGACCACCGAGGAGGAGGAGGAAGAGGAGGAGGTGGAGGCGGAGAGAAAGAGGAGGAGGAGGAGGAGGAGGAGGAGGAGGAGAGGAGGAAGAGGAGGAGAAGGAGGCGGAGAGAAAGAGGAGGAGGGGTGGAGGACGGAGGAGGAGGAGGAGGAGGAGGAGGAGGAGGAGGAGGAGGAGGAGGAGGAGGAGGAGGAGGAGGAGGAGGAGGAGGAGGAGGAGGAGGAGGAGGAGGAGGAGGGAGGAGAGGAGAGGAGGAGGAGGCTGAGGTGGAGGTCGAACGGGGCCAGGACGAGGATGAATCCGTTCCAGAGCGTGGAGGAGGAGGCGGAGGAGGAGGTGGAGGTGGAGGTCGAACGGGGCCAGGGCGAGGATGAATCCGTTCCAGAGCGTTCCGGAACGCTTTCAGTTCTTGAGCGTTCTTTAGAAGGGCGCGGCGCCCGAGACGGCCTCCAGAGCCGACGGATCTCAGAGCTTCCCGAATTGTCTGCACTCGATTCTATCATCGTCCTGGCTTCGCCTGAAGGGGGAGGAGGACGAGGCGGAGGAGGAGGAGGAGGAGGGAGGAGGAGAGGGAGGAGGAGGAGGAGGAGGAGGAGGAGGAGGAGCAGGAGGAGGAGGAGGAGGAGGAGCAGCAGGAGGAGGAGGAGGAAGTCGGACGAGGAGGGCCTCGCTGGAGCGGACCACCCGAGCCGGCGGGCCCTCCGCGCCCGGGGGCCAGTCCTCGGCGGGGGCCCTGGCCCCAACGATCAAGCAATGGCGAAGCGTTACGGCTCGCCTACAGGCCCGCCAAACAATGCCACGTCAATGCAAGGCAACGCGATTGCAACGCGAAGCGATGCAAAACCATGCAGAGCGATGTAATGCGATGCGAAGCCATGTGAAGCAATGCTAGCAACGCCAAGCTCGGGGGAGCGTAAGACCCGGGTTTGCCAGGACTCGGGTTCGCCATCGTTTTTTGACGACCGCGATTCGGATTTTGACGAGTAGGAGTTTCGTGGGATGTCTGCAGCGGGAGGCCTCGTCAAAATGCAGGCTCGGCTTCGTCATTTGTTTGACGACCTCGTCGGGGATTTCCGAGTCCCCTGTAACCGGGTCTTACGCCCCCCTGACAAGCAACGCCAAGCAATGCAATGCTGTGCAACGCAACGCAACGCAGTGCGACCGCAGTGAGAAGCGAAATGGCACTGGCATCGCCCTGCACGGGCGGCGGCGGCGGGCGGGGGCGGCATGTCACGGAAAAAAAGATCAGAGCATCCTGCGGACAAGGAATCATAATGTCAATCAATCGACCCGTGTTTGCCCCCCCCCCCCCTCTGGAGGAGGCGGAGGAGGAGGAGGCGGAGGCGGAGGCGGAGGCGGAGGAGGAGGAGGAGGAGGAGGAGGAGGAAGAGGAGGAGGAGGAGGAGGAGGAGGAGGGGGCATGCTGTGGCTCTCAGCGAACTCTCATCAGAACGCTTCTGGCCGATACTCCTTGTTGTTTCGGCAGCGCCGCGGGGCGGCCGCGGCCGCCCGTGCGCGCCCGCGGCCACGTCGGGGGCTCTCGATGGCGAGATTTGCCAAGGCAGCTCGGATTTCCTGACCGTCTGGAGCGCCACGCGAGCAGCCGCAGATCGGGCCGAACGAAAGGGGGGGATAGGGAAATTACGAAATCTGCTGCATGCCGCTGGTTTCAGCCCCGCCGCCGGGCCCATTCCTCGATACATGGGCGCCTCCCGGCGCCGGGAGGCGCCAGGAAAGTCAGCTACTTGAGCTGATTCTCAACCCCCCCCTTTGCTATCCCCCCTTTCGCCCGACCCGAGCAGAGCGCCACTCGATCGAATCGGCCTGATTGGCCGAACGCAGAGCGTCGTACTCTGATGATCTCCCTGCCCTCATGAAAGGCGCCCCTTCCAGGCACGCCCTAAGGCGTCACTGGGGTAATTCTCCTTTGGCGGGCTCGAGAGCTGCGCATGAACAAAAAGCAATCCAGAAAGCGACGCATATTCCTAACAACCTTCCGCTTTGAAGAGCGTGAAAGGTCCTACAGGCCCCCGTGCGCCCCCCCGCTGCGGAAACCTCCGGAACCTCATTGGAGAGACCACTCAATGGGTAGTTAGTGATGTTTCCTTGAGCCATTCGATTCTACCATCCTCTGATCGCTCTCCAAGATGAGCCTCACTCTTGGCCTCCTAGATGAGGTCCGAGTAGATGGGGTCGGAGGATCTCGCCGTCCTTGCCGCTTTCCCTCGCGCCACCGCCGCCGCCGCCCCCCCCCCCCCCTAACGAACAGTCTGTCAGTATTCCTCGCCCTGCTCTTCTTCTTCCTGGCTCCCCCCCGCTTTCCTCCGATAGTGCTACGTGCAGCCCCTAGCGGATTCTTGGTAGTCCTCCTGCGAACCACATTCCAGAACCACCATCATTTTTTGTTCAAAACAAACTTAGATGGGATGTTTTGCTACGGTTGGCCGCCGCCGAGGGGGTGATAGAAGAGTAGTGCTCATTGTGGTTGTGTGGCAGGAGGGGGGGGTACGGTGAAGGAAAGAGAAGGAGGAGGAGGAAGGGTACAAAAGAAAGAGAGAGAGAGAGAGAGAGCAAGAGAAGCAGCAGCAGGACGACGAGCAATGGGCATGGCATGCGGAGTCCAGGGTCATCATCGACTGGGAGCGTTTGGGCGCACGCGTTTTGCAGGACCGAGCGGGGAGATCGCCGGTTGAACAATTTGGGGTTCTCATGTGGGGCACGGTTCGCAGTGTCGGCTGGCACTGCGG